TGAGGGGCCATGCCCTTCCCGCACTGAAATCACCGCTGATGACGCTCTGCACGGAGCAAATCAGAGACCATCCCACCCAGAGCCCACCAACCCACTTTTTTTTTTTTTTTTTTTACAAAGGAGACAAAGCAAACGCATTCAGATGAAATAAGGCGTCCTCGCGCTGTAACGAGACACGTGCCGCGGAGAGGGCTTCTTTTTTGTTATAAGCCACCTGCCCTTGCGCGAGATCCTGTGAAAGAAACAGATTTTTATCGCTGGTTTTCTCTCTTTTTCTCCCCCTCTGCCCTTCCGGTGGTGTTCTGACCAGCAGAGCAGAGCGCCCCTCTCGAGAAAAAAGAAAAGAGAGGGCGTTTCGAGGCGCGCTCCGGCGGCGTGCAGCGGCGCGGCTACGCAATGCGCAGCGAAGGCAAGGCGGCGGTGCATCAGACAGTCGCATGCAAAGAAGGATGATTTTTTTTGTTAAGGAAAGGCTTTCCTTTAGATTGCCGTATCTCTCTTTTTTTAAGGAAATGGACTCGTTTAGCGTATCAAAATTAGAAGCCAGTGGGTCAGGCGACAGTATACAAAAGGCGTGGCGTCCATGCCAAGGCCGGCGGGCATCAAGCAAACAGTCTTACCAAAGGTGTAGCCATGATCATGCCTATTCTGCTGACAAGAGCCGGGAGGCGCTGGAACACACACAGAACAAGGAGAGCGGAGGGGCACACGGCAGGGCCAGAGGCAGGGCCAGGAGGCGGGGCCGGAGGCAGGGGGCGGGGCACAAGAAGGCACGCACCGGCCCCGGACCATGCCCGACAAGACCATGCCCTACGATGCAAGGCTACGGTGGTGTCATGATATTTGCTAGGGGCGTTGCGGGAAATGGACCGGTTCCTGAGTCTTTTAAAATTTTATTTATCTCTTTAGTAGTATATGTTTATACTTTTTCTTTAATCTTTACGTTTTGCGGGCAAGCGATTGGAGCGAGAGTGGAATCGTTTGCCGAGAAATGGCAGAAAAAAGAGACCAAAAAAAAGGAGGGTTGAAATGTTCGGTTGGAACAAATTTATTAATTACGGGAGAGATAAGCTCGAGCAACTTTTCGTGTTTTAATATCAAAAGTGAGCAGTATTCGATGAATGGGAACTTTGAATGGAGGGAAGTGAAAGTTAGGAACATAACACAGACTTGAACTATGTTGCGAAATTCGTGAAAATACCACACCTGTTAGTGATTTGTTAGTTTCAAGCTACAGGAATGTAAGAGTATTTCCGTCACAAGAAGGAGTGCAAAGGTTCCACAAAAATCACTCAGTGTGTGAGCTCACCTTGAAACACGATGACATGCACACAAAGTGCGTGGCACACAGTGAGACTTCAAGGAATTCCACTAATAAGTCAATGAATCAAAGAAAATCTAAAGAGGCAGTTTTTATAGATAAAGAAAGGAGAAAACTGGTACGGTGCATGAAGTTTTGCCTACTATAATTAATTTTGTACTTTTGGTCACGATATTGCAGGAATGACCAACGGGACGACTATACTGGCGCATAAGTAAATGTGACGCAGCTGATTGATTTGAAGAACTCAATTCGTACTAATGTTAATGTGTAATTTTTGTATATTTTATTGTAGAAGTAATGATGCACCGATTGTCAAAACGCAAAATAGTACTATCTGAAGATAAATTAAAGAAAAATAAAATTACGCGCGAGAAGAATTCTAGCAACCCCAGCATTGATAGGTAACGGGTGCGCACTCGATGCGACACCCAGTAAAAAAACAAAAGGAACAGAGTTACAAAAAAACAAAGAGAAAGACATAGGACTATATAGTAGAGAAAGTAAACTAATGACAAACACTAGCAAGTTAGACAAAGTGCGATGCTCATGCCACCATGCGCCGCGCAGCCAGTCCCTAGCGGATAAAGCCGCACCTTCGGATCAAAAGTACCTATCTATATGAACGAGTTTTTCGTGTCGAGATTCCCCCGCGGATGCGTTGGCCTACGACCGCGGCACGAGGGCGCGCCGAGCAGACGGTGCCTCTACCAGCGCTGCCGAGCGCGACGCACAACGCGCCAGGGCCAGGGGGAGTTGCGGCACAACACCTCAAGCTTTGTACATGTTGGCGCAGTAATAAAATGTTGTCGGATGACGTTGAAAGGGGAGAATAAAAAATATAAAAAACTGTAGAGGAGAAGTTGGTGCTTGTGATGTATGTTACAAGAGAGCGAGGGGCGCGACGCGCACGTCACGCACGCGTGTGCTCGCAGCGACCAATAAGGGGTAGAAAAAAAGTAGTGCGGTCGGATGGAGCCCTAAGGTGACACTGCCACTCCTCCGAGGCCACCACCGTTGTCCTAGTTCGGCTTACCTGGGTGACGGGGTTCTCCCCCGGGCGGTACACCACGTTGTGCAGGGGCCTCTTCCTGCCCACGTAGTTGACGGCCACAAACTCGAGAAGCGACGCGTAGATGAAGCACATGCACACGCCGTCCCACACGTTCATGGCCGTGAGGTTGGACACGACGGGCAGCGTCGACCGGAAACCGTTGGAAGTGGTGAAAAAGTTGAGCATTGTCGTCACGCCTGCGGGAAATGCAGAACAGGGTGGTGAGGCAGAGGGAGACGTTCGACCGGGGCAGCCCCTTGCTGTATTAGGCGAACAGGAGGACTCAGCCCATGCACGGCCACACCGTCAAGGACCTCGGCCATTGTGGGGTGGAGGAACCACCTCCCTCCGTAGAGCTCTGGCCGAAAGGACCTCGTTGGAGCCCCTCGAGGTCCCGGCCGAGGCCGAACACTCACCAATCATGACGCGCGCGGGCACCGCGTTCCACTCGAGCCAGAAGGTGATGAAGGAGCTGGTGACCAGGATGATGCCCGGGATGAAGACCGTCGTGAAGTAAAAGGCGCGGTCTCTGGTAAAGATGAGGTCCACCTTGAGGCAGCTGTAGTTCCCTGTGAACAGATTCCAGCGTTCAGTTCATCTGAACTTCAACATACGTCATCATGTGCTCCCCCCATCTGCCGTGGCCTCGTCTGTTCTGGGCCGTCGCAGCGGTCCGCGCTGACTGGCAAATCGGTCCCACGGGGTCAGCCGGCAATATGATCAATAAAATTATGCGAGTTTGTTTCCTAACTAAGCTCTCGGCCGCCGGGCCGGGTCGAGCGGTACAACGGAATGGAATGGGCCCGACTCAGATGCCAGTGGCACGTTGACTAACGACAGCGGTGCTGGAGGCCTTTCTCACCCGGAATCTCCGTGGCTGAGCCAGCCCCCCCCCCCCTTTCTCTCTGCCTGGCCTGCAGGGAGGGGTAGGCTGGATCTTACAAGGGAAGGTTTTCCGGTGATACACTCAGATTTCAATGGCGCTTCAAAGTGTTGTTGTTTACATCCCTAGATTAGGTTTTGCATTGGTTTTAGCTGCCCGTAGGGAGTTCGAAGGTCGTTTTACGCGAATTTAATTGAAAATTCGCCAAACTTTTTAGCATGATTATCAACTTTACATGGACGTATCTCAAGAACCGTTTGAGCTACAGCGCCCAGATTTTGAGGGAAATCATAATTTTGCACGTTCTTTACTTGTAGAAAATTTGAACGAAATCGATTAGGGTCGCAAAAACGGGTCCGAAGAGGGGTTGCGACCCTAGGCCCCTTTTGGTGAGCCCCATTGATTTGGTTCAAATATTTTTCACGGAAAGTACTAATTGAAGGATAATCACCTGCAAAATCTGGGCGCTGTAGCTCAAACGGTTTTGGAGATATGTGCATGCAAAGATGGCAAAAAAACGCTGAATTTGGGAAATTTTTGATGAAATTCTTGTGAAATGACCCCCAAACTCCACGGGCAGCTAAAACCAGTGCCAATCCTAATTTAGAGGTGCAAACAACTACTCTTTAAAGCGCCTTTGAAATCTGACTGTATCACCGGAAAACCTTCCCTTGTTAGTGCCACAGTAGGATGCATCCTCGGATGCATCACCCAGCCACTGGACCACCACGATGCTGCTGAAACTACGTCACGTCACCGAATCTTGTCCCTTCCTGCTCCACTGCACAGCCTCGCTGCTGCGGCGACACATTTTTTTTTCTCCCTTCCTCCTCTTTTTCTGTTTCTTCACCCTGCTTTTATTACAAAAGTGTGAGCAGCAGCTCTTGCCGCGGGCAGAAGCACGCCTCGGGGAGCCGGGCTGGGCGGGACGGGCTGCTGCTACTGGTCGCACTGCCGGCTCGGCTGTGCACGGCTCGGCTGTTTATGCATACGTCCCGTTCCGTGCCGCCCGCCTTGCCTTTCAATGGCGCCACGACGGAACGGCCCTTAACGGCGGAACGGCCATCACAATACAGAGCCTGAATACTGCGGCCCCCGCCCAACCACCCCGCCCGGCGGCCCCTGCCCAGCTGGGGGGCGGAACACCGTCATCAAGTCTTTTACTTTATGCTTCCTTTCACAAACCCCTTTTCGATTCAAATTCCTAAAACGGGCCCCTTTCCATACTTTTTTTCCACGCGTGCGCGCCTTTAAAGAAATCGGGACATAAATATTGTACACGTGCTCGTTTAGTATCGCAGCTGTAGTCACATCGATAGCGATACTTAAACGGAACAACAGCACGAGATACAGCTAGATCGTCGCAATGACACGCAATTATGGCGACGCATTCGATTCGCATTCGCATTTGATACGAAACAGTCGAACCGTTTTCAATCACATAACTTTATGTACGGATTACATCCCCACGCACCCCGAGTCCACGATTAATAATTGTCGGCTTTCATTGCGCGCTACTTTTTTTTTTTTACTGTGTAACGCGTTGCGCTCGCGTGTACGCGAGTGTGTCTCCCTGTTTTATGTGTGCCATTCTGTAGGCGAGCATTCGAAGCGAGAGAGCGCAGGCCGCGTGCGCACAATGGGACGTCATCCCCCCCAGACACAGAGGAGCGACGCGCAGCGTAGCACGATACGCCGCCCAGATAAGAGGCCCAATTTGGCCGCCCCGCACACCACACCACGCCCCGCCGCAGCACAGAGCGCGGCCAGAGAGCTGCGCGGCCGCAGAGCGCCGTGGAGGTAGGCAGGCAGCGCGGCGCACTGCACCCGTGCGCGCGCGTTGCCTACCTCTCAGGCGGCCCCGCGTCCGACAAGCAGACGACGAGCGCGTCGCAACAACAGCAGCAATGATTGTGCCCAACAAAAAAATAAAAATAAGGAAGGGCGGTAAAATGACAGATTGTCATTTATAGGGTATACTACCACTCTGAAAACCTAAGTGACATGCCGCCAGTTGGTACAGCAGTTTAACGTTTTAGGCGTGATACCACTACACTAGTGTACTATGTCCGACAGTTCAAGGAAGGTTCCTACTGCCCAGCACTATTGTGGCTGTAAGAAACAAGCTGCCCTCCTCCGATAACAGTAGTTCACGTCACGTAGTTTACTACACTTCTTACGGTAGTACACAGATGCTATCACCAATAGTGCTACAGTTTAAATTATAATGTATGGCACTTGGGTTACAAGATTATACATACAGAAAAAAAGTCAACCAGAAAAAGGCGCAGTTTGGCCGTAGATTTTGCCTCAAAGAGCGGCGAGGCTCGGATGCAGTAGAAAAGATCCCTTCCCCATCTTCGTCCCCGACCCCGTCGTCGTGGTGGGTCTCAGTACTATAATGACTAAACACTCAGAGGTGAACTACGCGGCGGGGTAGGGGGAGCGACGGAGGAGTGCGGCCGCGGCGTAGGTGGCGGAGGTAATCTGATTGTAAGCAAGGGAACTTGTTTGCCTCTGTAATGCAATCTAAGGCTTCTTGGGAGACACTACTACCAGGAAGGGGAGGGGGGCGTAAAAGAAGACTGCAGCAGGGAGCGAGCGGCAGAGGGAAGGGAAAGAGGGGCGGGCGGCGGCAGCGGCTCAGGCAGGAACCAGGGACTTAAAGTACCCCAGCGAGAACGGACAGGGAAGGGACAAAGGACGCCAGAGGTAAATAAGGACGAGGAACAAGAATGTTGCAGTAGCTGCGACTGACTGTCGAAGCGGCAGACGGCATCGGGTGGAGCGAACGGACGAGTATTTGCTTCGCGGCCGGGCACGTCATCACGCGTTTACAAGGGGGTGGTTACGACCCGGCCTACATTGTGGCATCCCGGGCAGGGATAACGTCAGCGGAGCAGGGCAGAGGCGGGGGCCGGGAGGATGCGCCTGCCTGCTGCAACGGGTGTAGTTGGTGGGAGGGAGGGGGCAGTGTTGCGCTCAAAGTACACGCTGCCTTCAATAACGACGGCCGCGAAGCACTGCTCGGCGCCATCAGAGACGCTCCCTTCCCTCTCTCTTTACGATAATCGACGTTGGTTCGTCTTCAGAAGATGCATTTTTTTTTTTCTAAAAAGAAATTTTGAAAAGTAAGTAAACTATATAAATCCACGAATAACAGGAAGTACTATGTATGTAACGTATGTATTATTGTGGATTGGAATATCCAATGCGTTGATAGGAGTTCCGAGGGAAATAATTCGGAACACTGAGGAACCGTAACATACAAAGCTAACTTTCAAAGCCGTTTTGGAGTGATGTCTAACTACGCCTGAGTTCACAAAATACCGATTTTCTGAAGATGTATTTTATCTTATGGATATGGCTGCACCCACCTCTCCAGCTGGCCTTTGTGGGGCAGGGGATGGTGGAGTTCTTGATGAGGTATGCGTTGAGCGAGGTAAGGGACGGCGACGTCCGGAGCGTGTCCTCGTCGTTCTTCCACACGTATCGGATTTGGTTCTGCTCGTAGGAAACTGTAACACAAGCACATCAGTTAGACCATGTATAAAGTATTCTTATTTTAAAAAGGGAAAGGACCCACGAAGAATATAATTTAACAATTATTTAAAGTAATATTTAAAACTATTGTTGATGTACTTAAACTCATATTTTACACCGGTAAAATACAATATCTTTTTTTAAACTGGTTTTAAATTTGGTGCGCGTGCGTGGTTCGCAAATTCTCAACATCGGCTAAGAATCGAACATCATGCAAAATGCCTTTTTCTTTTACAAAAGATTCGATAAAAATGTCTTTGTTTTCCCTTTGTGCAGTAATCGTGCCTAGTTGACGGAGCAACCGTGGTCCGAGGCGGTTTATCCCGTCTGCGCAGCTCACTAAGTGCCCGGCTGTCACCTACTAACCCCCTTCTCTCCCTCTCTCTCCAACGCTCTATCCTCTGCCCGCACAAGCGGCCTCGCTGCTGCTTTGTCGGCGCAGTAATGATTGGCGCAATGCACTGCTGCAGCCAGCCTGCTAGCCTCAAGCTCCCCCCTCCCTCCCCCAGCTGCACGGACTGCAGCAGTGCGGCGAGGGCGTTTGGCCCCGGCCGCGCATAGAGTTGTATACACCCCTGCCCGTGAGCCTGAGGGCTGCACGTAATGTGACGGCTAGGGCACAGTCACGGTGATTGCGGTGTTACTGTGACTATGTTCGTAGAAGGAAGTTAAAACCTCGAGGTTCACGCCCATGATTTGAGAAAACTGTTCAAATTTGGATATCTGCTCAAAAACGTGGGAATTTATATCAAAGGGGACTTTTCCTCAAATGGAAGAAGTTTCACAGATTTTTACCCTTTTCCTTAAAACAACCGACAATACTTTCACCGCATGTAGTTTTTTTTTATTTAAGTGTGCGAGTAATGAGTATACACTGTACGGTTCAGTATATTTTAGCGATACGATGGCCGAGGAACGGGGAACATCTCACCAAGCCAACGACAGCCCGCCGCAAACCCCTCCGCGCCCCCTCGTCATGGCATAGGCCACCTTCTTTACGACCCAGCCTAACGGCAAATGCGATAAGGCCACCCACAACTTGAGAACCTCATTGCCGTCTGGGATCACGGCAATGACGAGAGCCTCAGAAGTGCTGCTTCGTGGAAGCATCATCGTCGTCCTTATTCTCCACGTTCCGCTAGACAGACACAGACGGCCGGACGCGCGCGCGCACACACACACACACACACGGTGCCTGCTGTGTTCGGAGTGGCGGCTGCAGCGCGGCAAACTCAATTAGAACAGTCCTCCTTCAAACAAACTCACGGCCCCGCGCCCCGCCCGGCCCCGCCCCACCCAGTCTGGCAGAGGCGCGCTACTTTAAAGGTTTTAACTGCATTAGCGCTCCGAGATGAGGATATCCTCTCACCGCCACGCCGCCACGCCAGCCCGGCCCGCCCGAGTACGCGCCCGGCGCGCCCGCTTTGGTAATGAACCCGGCGACGGGCGTGGCGTGGCGGAGCGTGGCGGAGCGTGGAGCAACGCCAGGATCAGTTTCAATTTGCGCAGGCACATCGAAGAGTGGCTCCATTCATTAACATATACCTGGGGTGGTGCGAGAGAGAGAGGAAGGGGAGGGGTGGATCGCGGTCCCTGTCGTTTCGTATCTGCGAGGGGTGAGCGACAGGGAGAAAGAGAGAGGGGGGGGGGCATTGTTGAGGAATATTCCCTGGGCCTAATTGGGGCCTTTGAACGTGTCGTGAAGATTGGCGATCAAAAATTCCGATTAAATTAAACGCTGTAAACACCGCAAACGGCAAATGTAAATGGAGAACAAAGCACCTTCCACCTTCCTAGGGGACAGACAATTCCTTAACGTTTTTTTACAGAGGCACTAAAACTTTTCGCAGCGCAACGGGTGGAGGCTTTGGGAGTACGAAAACCAAGAAAAGAAGTATTTGAAAAAAGGGTTCCGCGTTTATGCAGCCTGGATTTTAAGTGATCACATAACTTTGGTTAGCTCCTTTTGCAATGCACCACGTGCAGCCCGATGCTCGGCGCGGTGCAGCAGACTAATCATCTGGGTCGATGCGCGTGTGTCGATCCACGCGACGCAAACGGCACGCTGCACGGACACAAGTCAAAGTGACGGCCGCAGCGTCATGCGCCCCCATCTACCTTCCGTCATCGAGCCACAGCAGCAGCTAGATCAACCCCCACCCCTCCCTGCTCAAGTCAAGTTTACTTCCCCGTCCAACTTTAGCTGGGCGGCTGCGGCTGTATCGCGATTCGCGCTCGGCCGGCAGCCCACGACAGGTATGGATGGGAAGTGACTCGGAACAGGCTTCATCTGCATTCTCCTCCCCCTGTCACGGAGTATACTGCGTCAGGAGAGGTTTCATCCCGCTGTATCGAGATGAGGATAAAACCCTGCTAGGTCACATAACGCAAAGCCAGTGAGGTCTTGTCTTTTTCCACCCCTGCGGCGTAGTGGAAAAGGAGGTAAAGTGTCCAATTTTCTGTCTGTCTGTCTCTATCCCCTCGTAAAAATTGCATTATTTTTTATGGCTGCGACAAATTTCCTCTGCGGCAAGGGGGAAATTCTTTCCTTTTCATCACATGGCCGCGCAAGAGGCAGTGCCTCCTGTCAGTCTGCTTGCCAGATCTTATCCAGACGCCCTCCTTGTCCTCAGGACCTAAGAACCCTTTGCGATGGCATTCTTTTTGTTCATTTAGTTTCTTGGCGAAAATTAGGATGAGAATATTTTGAAAGTATTACTTAACATATGCACATCTACTGAAATAACGTTTTCATGCCGTTTTCTTTGCTTACCCTCCGCACCTCTATTTTTTTCTGGCTTGACAACAAGGACCTCAAACGCTTCCGCCCCGGTCGCCCTCGAGCTAGTGGGTCCAAATTAAGTTAAGGGTTTGGGAGAGAGCACGGGGAGGAAATGTGTGGACCGGAAAGTGAGAGAGATGGAGGGAGAGGGGGGGGGTGAAGCGACGCGGGGGCGAAAGAGAGGATGAAAGCAAGCAAAGAGGAGAGTAGCGAGTGATGCGAGAATGGGGGATTTGCAGGGAAAGGGAGAAAAGTGGGATGAGGTTGGCTGGAGCTGGGAGCAGTAAGTGACGGACGCATATGCAGAGAAATGTTTGCCCCTCCTTCCGACCCCAGCCACCATTTCTCACCCCCTTCCTCACACCATACACCACGCGGCCACATACTCCTGCTTTCTGAAGGAAACGGATTTCTCTAGGAAAACACCACACCTTGTTTCATAACATTGTAGGTGAAAGAAGTATTTAAGGATAGTTTACTAAGCTCATGCAATTTATAGTCGACATCTAAAATTCTTACCAAACGGTTCAAAATATGAACACTGGTCTCCATATTATGAAGCTCATCACTGTCACTGATAAACTAAGAGTTCAACTGCTCAACAATTGTAAGTGTGCAACTGCAAGTTAAACTCTTGCAAGTGTGCAACTCCGTTGTCGTACACTTGCAAGTATTCGACTCGTTAGGTGTGCACTTGCAAGTGTGCAACTCCGCGGTTGAACAATTTCTTAGATTGAACGCTTACTGAGTAGGAAGTGCTCAACCGAGGAGTTGCACACTTGCAAGTATTCAACTTGCAGTTGCACATTTGAAAGTATTTAACCTGCAGTTCCACACTTACAAGTGATGAGCAGTTGAACACTTAGTTTATCAGTTATGTTCATAATATAAAGAATGTCTGTGCTGTCATAGTACGGACACAATTCGTCCGTTGTACGAAATCACGCCGTTCGTAATAGTAGGCAGATAACGGTTATTATACATGGTGACAAAACTTACTGCTTTCCATGGCAAATGAGCATTGAGGATCGTCGAACGGGAAGGTGGCGATGTGCCCCTGACAGGAGAGTATAAGGTGTCTCCTGCAACGGAAACAGTCATCATGCTAAATGTCTTTCACTCGTTCAAGTCTCCGATTGATGTTTACGTTACAATGAAAAAAATATCACTCTAAGAAGTCAATAAGTTTTGAAGTAAAAGTTTTTTACTTTCATAAAACCCCATAAGCACATGAAGAAATCACCAATCACATTAGGCTGTTAACAAAATTTATTTTCGGTAGCACACATTCATTTCTTGAGGCATACCGCATCAGGTAGTTGACGGTGCCATTTCTAAAGATGCGGAGTGCAAAGTGCACGGGTATGAGCGGGTCCTTGAAGTCCCCGTGCATGATGAAGTACGTGTCCGGCAGCCAGATGTCGCTGTGGTGGTGGATGGCGTTGAGGAAGTCGTACCGGCTGTGGTTCGAGTACTGCAGCCGCGGATCTACCCACTGCTGCTGGAGCAGGAACTCCACCTCGTATTTCTGGAAGCAACACCGACAACACAGTATTAGTGCAATCAATGAAAATTAACCAAACAGGGAAAAAAAGAAGAAAACAAATTGCTTCACTAAGTGAAATACGCCCCAACAACAACAAAAAATGAATGAGGGCATAGAGCATCGGGGAAAAAAACAAGGGGGGTTGTACAGTCATGGCCTGGCTACTCCCCTTGGGGGGTTCAGACAACACGTCAGAATAGACAATGCGCGCTGTCCCTCCGCTCCCAGCCCCTCGTTAGCCCGACTGCTAGCCATGTTAGCTAGTTGGGCGGGCACCCCGCCGCCGTTTGGCTAAATCAGTTTATGGTCCGTAATTGGAGAGTGAACGAGCGGGCCGCGGAGTGTATGGCGCCGGGACGACGAGGGCAGGCGAGGGGGGGG